CGCAACAATTAGTCGTTAATTATAATGAATAATAATAATTATAATACATCAAACTTATTTAGCGCTCTTTTGGACACTCAAAGACGCTTCACATGGGGAATAAAATACAATAATAAAAAAGGGGTTTACGGAAAAGCTTGTTTGAAAAGATGGGTTTTGAGACTGATTCAAAGTTTGGGAGTGAGTCAGAGTTTCTAATGGGCAGTGGGAGTGAGGAGGTTGGAGTCGGCTGAGCGAGTGGGTGGGTTGGCGTTCTTGTAGGAGCTCGGTAAGGTAGGGGGCGGGGCCAGGTTATGGAGGGACTTGTAGGTGAGGAGAAGGAGCTTGTAATGGATGTGGTATTGAACAGGAGCCAGTGGAGCTGCTGGAGGACAGGGGTGATGTGTTCTCTGGGCCGGGTGTGGGTGAGGAGGAGGCGGACTGCAGAGTTCTGGATGTATTGCAGTTTTTGGAGATGAGAGGTGGGAGGCTACTGTGGTCGAGTCTGGAGGTGATGAATGCGTGGATGAGGATTTCGGCTGTTGACTGGGTAAGGGACGGGCGGAGGCGGGCAATGTTGTGGAGGTGGAAGAAGGAGGTTTTGGTGATGTGTTTGACGTGTGTTTGACATGAGAGGGTGGAGTCCATTATGATGCAGAGGTTGCGTACAGAGGGTGAGGGGGTGACAATGAGGACGGTAATAATTCAGATTCCCAATAATTTAATGTTTTTGATTGTATTTGTTAGCAGGACTACACAACCCTTTAACAGACGTGTTGAAATGGCAAACAGCAGCATCATAATGTAAAATTTTAAAACATTTAGTGAAAGATTTAACAATAACCCGAACCCATCAGTCTCCTCATCTCAGCCTTTTTTTGAGACATATATTGTTTCGTTAAACCAGTCGAGGGAGCAGAGATTGTGGAGAAGACAGTTTTCACACTATACACTGATAATAATACCACCATTTTGTTTATAGTCCACACAAAAGTTGTCAGAATAATGGGCCCTCTCACTAAATATACGTACCTGTCTCTCAGCACAGAAGCTGGTGGTGTCTTCTCTCCTCTTTCTGAGTTATTTTCTGAGTAATCCCACCCAATTTGTAAATCTACTCCGTATTCTTATGCTTTCAGTGGGAAAAGTGAAAATATAGACTAGTGTACATGTAGCTCACTTCATTTCAGAGTATTTGCCTTATCACACTGTTTTTTTTTGACTTTTTTACTCATGCAGCCTGAAGATACTTTTTATTTTTTATATAAACAAACAAAAACATTACAGACAGAATATAACACGAAAACATACACTGGCTTAACTACATACAACAAACACACAACACAGTCAGGGGTCTAGCAAGTGAAGAAATCATGATCCACGTCAGATAATTTTGCCTGAAACAATTACATTTTCTCTAATAGTAGCTACATTTTTAGCCCCTTTTTGGAGTGCTGTAAACAAACTCATTGAGACAACATGATTGGTGTCTTTCAAGTCTATTTCAGGTCAATAATCGCAATCTTTCAAACGTGTGATCTTTTTGCCACAGTCATTATGCAACCGAAGAATCTGAGCAGCCTGAAAACTCCTGCAGAGTCTAAAACCTCAGATGTGGCGCTTCGTAACCGCTCGTCCATTGTGAAGCCAGACCCCTGCTCCTTTCTGCATCCAGTCATTTCTGCCACAATTTCACAGACATTTTTCACATTTTCCAGCAGCTGAGAGCATATCTAAATTTGTTCTTGCCTTTTTAGAGGAGTACCGTCTTAGTTTTGCAGAACAAAGGCGTAATAGGATCAGGCGGCGCTGCACATCTCTGTGTTTATCCTGATTTGACACAAACAGTGGAAGTGAAGGCGTCGCACACAGCTCCTGTCTGCAGATGTGGAGGCTTGTTATAACGCATGTGTGCAAGTTTGGTGAAGAAAATGACACAGCAGAAGACATTCTTCAAACAATGTGGACATGGCTTTATCGAAGGAAAAACATGGACTCTCCTCTCTGCCAGAGCCAATCATGGATCTATTATAATATCTGGATAGGGTGTTCAATCAATCAATCAACTTTATTTGTATGGCGCCTTTCCAACACAAGGCCACTCAAAGCGCCTCACAACCCACATAATATCAGACAAATCAGAAACATCAAAAACTACATATACAAACAATAAATACATTAAAAACAGAATAAAATCACAAGTAATGAAAAAAACCTTAAAATATTAAAAGCACACACGGGATTAAAATAATAAATAACCACAATGCATAAAAAAAAAAGAGTATGTATCAATAAAATCCTTCAGCCGTATGCACAGCTAAAAAGAACAGTTTTTAGCCCTGATTTGAAAATTGCCAGAGTAGATGCTAGCCTCACATCTTCAGGAAGATTGTTCCAGATTTTAGCTCCATAAATCTCAAACGCTGCCTCCCCATGTTTAGTTCTGACTCTTGGAACCAGTAAGAGGCTACCTCCTGTGCTCCTCAGAGTCCGGGCCGGTTCATATGGCACTAACAAGTCGCTTAAGTACTTTGGTGCGAGGCCATGGAGAGACTTGTACACAAGCAGTGCTGCTTTGAAGTCTATTCTCTGAGCCACAGGAAGCCAGTGCAGAGACCTGAGAACTGGACTAATGTGGTCATATTTCCTGGTCCTGGTCAGGACTCGAGCTGCAGCATTTTGGACATACTGCAGTTGTTTTACAGCCTGTTTGGAGAGACCTGTGAGCAGGCCATTGCAGTAGTCTAACCTACTGGAGACAAATGCATGGATGAGAATCTCCAGATCTGATTTAGACACTATGTTTCTAATTTTAGGGTGTTAGTAGCTTGTGGCTGAAGGACCCATGGGCACAGGGGCTTCCCACGGTACTGCAGACTAAATCAAACTAAATTCACGTGGGCTACGCTGACATTTTCCCAATAGAACTCAGTGTAAACTAAAACAGCTCGACCTGAGCAGACAGAGAACCTACAGTTTTTGTAAAAGTTGTATTTTGTGGGAATTTTAGTCTTCCTTTTTGGTCCTCAACTTCTTTTCACGCATGCTCGTTAGTATTTTGGCGCAAAGCATCATGGGAGCTCATCCACTGCGCAGAACCAGGAGGACCAGAGAAATGACCAAATATGGGCGAGTTCCTCTAATCTTTCGGTCTCCATGTATGTCCCATGCTCTACTGAGCCCCGGGCATTAAGATTTGAATAGGACGCTATCTTGGATCTCCAATAGATATATTAGATTAAACCTTCAGTTAACCAAAACATCACGTGGAAAAGTACTTCTGCATAATCTTGTAATGACATGCTCAGGTTTAACATCAATGCATAATAATTGCGTTAGTAAATAATAAGTGGAAATATTGGTGTCAATATTTGTAATAATTCAAAAGTTTTTCAGAATAGGACTGAGCTCCAGACTTGAAGAGGATTTTATTGGTTTATTTCAGTCATATTAACTCAAACTAATCAGTGCTTTGTTCAGGCAGATAAACTAATATGATGTTTGTGGTTCGTTGAGTTGGATCATCAGGCAGGACATAACTAGTACAAAAACAGTCAAAACATAGATACAGTTTAAGTATTGGTCAAGGTGCTGATAGTTTGTCAGCTTCTACTTTACACACAGATGTTGTCTTTGTTTGATTGGGAAGATTACATTAAATTACCTGTTAATAATTCATACTGTTCATAGATGTATTGTTTTATAAAATGTTATGACATTTCAAATTGTTTTCTGCCAATTGTAGAGAATGTCCATCATTTCCTAAAGGACAGTAGGTCCTGTTTGGGCCGCACGGTGGCTGAGTGGTTAGCACTCCTGGGTTCGAATCCCGGTCGGACCAGGGCCTTTCTGAGTGGAGTTTGCATGTTCTCCCCGTGACTGTGTAGGTTTCCTCCGGGTACTCCGGTTTCCCCTACCCCTAAAAACATGTACAATAGGTCTGTGCCTCCTGTCCTGGCCCCTCCCATCTCTGTGTTGAGTGACAGACTAATGCCCACAACTGTAAACCGCTTTGACTCTGGTCTGAGAAAGGCGCTATATGATTAAACATGACTTGCTTACTGTTGTCTCTCTGGCGAGGGATCCAGAACTGCTCAATATGGAGGAGCAGCAGCTATACTCCGAGCTTCCCCTCTCTCTGCAGAAGAAACTCATGTAGCTTGTATCCGTGTCTTTCTCATTATCTCATGCTAACATCTACATCCAGATTTAATTGAAAAGTGTTTTACTTTCTTCCTCTGTGTAAATACTGATGGCGGCTCATTTGCGACTCTTCAAGTGTGAATCCAAATCTCTTGTAATTTAAGATATTCACAAATTTGCTGAAAACTATAAATTATTAACTTGTGTACGTCTGTTTTTGTGCACATAGCAAAGAAACGCCTGAAGCAAAGACTGGCTTTAAAGTGGAGCGTTGCTGTTTGTGATGATCACTCCTTATTTTCATTATTGGGACAGTTTCTCATTTGTGTTTTTCTGTTTATGAGTAGATTTATTTATATATGTTGTTAGTATTTTCATAATTTCAAAGTCAGAAAGAGTCAGATTGCCGTACGCTGCATGTTACATTATCAACACACATTTTAAAAACACAATAACTCAGAAAACCATGTATAAAAATAAAAAGTCAGAATAATTCATTGTTTGATACTCATTAGTTACAGAAGGTTTCTTTGTGGTTTTAAGAGATTGTTTGGGTCTGAGGCTGTTGTTAGTCACTTCACTTTATCAGTTAATTATTGATGTATTTTTAGGTCGGATTGATGTGTTTTTTTTTTTGCTGCTGGACATGATTAAAAACACACACATCGACAGAATCGCTGCGTAGGCCTCAGGGTTTAAAGAACTCAAAAACATTTGCAGAAAGTACTGTATTTTATATTTCAACATATACAAATAAAATCATATGTGTTTATTTATTGTCCATTGTCCAGTTTGTAAATGTAACCTCTACATTCATCGCATCACAGTACAGAACATGGAGATGAAAACAGGTGTAAATACTTAGTGTGTGTCTTCAGGGATCTTCATGAGCACCTGTAACGTGGACGTGCGCTGGTTTCCCTTCGACATTCAGAAGTGTGAGCTGAAGTTTGGATCCTGGACGTACGACGGCTGGCTGCTGGACCTGCAGATGACCGACGCCGACGTCACTGGATACATGCCCAACGGGGAGTGGGACCTCATCGGTGAGACCTCAACACACGAAGAATCCACCTGTGTAAAAACTAAATGTATTATGTACAGTTGTGCCTGAAACACACATTTATTTAAAGTTATTTAATCATTGAGCCAATATATGTGGAGATCTCAAACGTGAAGTTCAGGAAGAAACTGGGAACTTTTTGTAGAAGAAAGCGAAACTTGGCCATCAGAGGATAAAAACTTCCACCACAAAAGAGTAAAGAGCGATATTTAACTTTAGAAATTGCCAAAACTAATTAATGGGCCATACATTTGTTTAAACAGGGATAAAACAGCTCTGAGTGTGATGTCAGGACTGAGACAGGAACAAGCAGCCCGAGGGCCAGAGCTACAGGGGCTAGAACAGATCTAAAAACGACTCCAGGTCTGTGACTGATGACGGAACAAATTCGTTTTTAAAAGCCAGATGTATTTTGTGCCATACAATGTTTCTTCCCTTCTTCTAAATGGTTTCATATGTACTTCCATTAACCTGTTGAAGATTTGTTTTTGCAAATGAACTCTCAAATACTTCATATTACGACATATTGTCACATCGTGGATTCTTTTCTATATGAGGTACAGGTGAAGCAGCCGACCTTTAAAACTCACACTAAAACTTAAACTCTGAGCCTGGTCCTGAAGCCCGGGTCCATCAGGTCAGGGTCAGTCTGGAGCCAGGTCACTCATCACTGTCGTTGGTTCCTCCACCGCTTGCTCTCCGCAGGGGTCCCGGGAAAACGAAACGAGCTGTTTTACGACTGCTGCAAGGAGCCGTATCCTGACGTGACGTTTGTGATCACGATCCGCAGGAGGACGCTGTACTACGCCCTGAACCTGCTCATCCCCTGTGTCCTGCTCTCCTCCATGACACTGCTCATATTTGTGCTGCCGGCAGACTCCGGGGAGAAGATCTCTCTGGGTGAGCCACAACACACACTGCACCACAAACACACACACTCTATACACACACACACACACACACACGCAATACACACACACAACACACACACGCTATACACACACACACGCTATACACACACACACACACACACGTTATACACACACACACACACACGCTATACACACACACACACACGCTATACACACACAACACACACACTCTATACACACACACACACACACGCGCAATACACACACACACACGCTATACACACACACACACACGCTATACACACACACACACTCTATACACACACACGCTATACACACACACACACACACGCTATACACACACACACACACACCCACACGCTATACACACACACACACACACACTCTATACACACACACACACACACGCAACACACACACACACACCGCTATACACACACACACACACGCTATACACACACACACACACACACACACACACGCTATACACACACACACACACACGCTATACACACACACACACACACACACGCTATACACACACACACACTCACACTCTATACACACACACACACACACACTAATACACACACACACACACACGCTATACACACACACACACACACACACATACACCTATACACACACACACACACACACACACACACACTATACACACACACACAACACACACTATACACACACACAACACACACACTCTATACACACACACACACGTTATACACACACACAACACACACACACTATACACACACACACACACGCTATACACACACACAACACACACACTCTATACACACACACAACACACACACTCTATACACACACACACACACTATACACACACACACACACACACTCTATACACACACACACACACACGCTATACACACACACAACACACACACACACACACTATAACACACACATAACAAACACAACACACACACTCTATACACACACACTCTATACACACACACACCCACACAACAAACACAACACACACACTCTATACACACACACACCCACACAACAAACACAACACACACACTCTATACACACACGCTATACACACACACACAACACACACACTCTATACACACACACAACACACACACACAACACACACACTCTATACACACACACACACACACACACACACACGCTATACACACACACAACACACACACTCTATACACACACACACACACACGCAATACACACACACACCTATACACACACACACACACACACACGCAATACACACACACACACACACGCTATACACACACACAACACACACACTCTATACACACACACCAACAACACACACTCATAACACACAACACACACACCACACACTCATACACACACACACCCACACAACACAACACACACACTCTATACACACACACACACCCACACAACACACACACACACTCTATACACACCACACACACACACTCTATACACACACACACACCCACTCAACAAACACAACACACACACTCTATACACACACGCTATACACACACACTCTATACACACACATAAACACACACACACTCTATACACACACACCAACAACACACACTCATAACAAACACAACACACCCACACAACAAACACAACACACACACTCTATACACACACACACACACACGCTATACACACACACAACACACACACTCTATACACACACACACACACACACACTCTATACAAACGCACCAAGAACACACACTCATAACACACACAACAGACACATTCTATTCACACACACGCACACACACACAACAGACACATTCTATTCACACACACCAAGAACACACACTCATAAGACACACAACAGACACACTCTATCACACACACAATACACACACTCTATAACACACACAACACACACATTCTATACACACACACACACACACACACCCACACAACAAACACAACACACACACTCTATACACACACACACCCACACAACAAACACAACACACACACTCTATACACACACACAACACACACACTCTATACACACACACACACACTCTATACAAACGCACCAAGAACACACACTCATACACACACACACACACACACACACTATAACACACACTATACACACACACACACACTCTATACACACACACAACACACACACTCATACACACACACACACACACCATACACACACACACACACACACACACACACACACACACTCTACACACACACCCTACACACACACACACAACACTCTATACACACACACACCATACACAACACACACAATACACACACAACACACACACTCTATACACACACACACACACACTCTATACACACACACACACCTATACACACACACAACACACACACCTATACACACACACTCTATACACACACACATACACACACACACCTATACACACACACAACACACACACACTCTATACACACACACACACACACTCTATACACACACACACCACACACACACACACACACACATACACACACACTCTATACACACACACACACACATCTATACACACACACTCACACACACACACATAACAACACACACACACACTCATACACACACACACAACACAACACACACAACTATACACCATACACACACACACACACACACTCTATACACACATACACACACACACACTCTATACACACACACACACACACACACACATAACACACACACACACACACACACAAACACAACACACACACTCATACACACACACACACACACGCTATACACACACACAACACACACACTCTATACACACACACACACACACACACACACACTCTATACAAACGCACCAAGAACACACACTCATAACACACACAACAGACACATTCTATTCACACACACGCACACACACACAACAGACACATTCTATTCACACACACCAAGAACACACACTCATAAGACACACAACAGACACATTCTATTCACACACACCAAGAACACACACTCATAACACACACAACAGACACATTCTATACACACACACACACACACACACACACACACACAACAAACACAACACACACACTCTATACACACACACACCCACACAACAAACACAACACACACACTCTATACACACACACAACACACACACTCTATACACACACACACACACTCTATACAAACGCACCAAGAACACACACTCATAACACACACAACAGACACATTCTATTCACACACACCAAGAACACACACTCATAACACACACAACAGACACATTCTATACACACACACACACACACACACCCACACAACAAACACAACACACACACTCTATACACACACACACACACACGTTATACGCACACACAACACACACACTCTATACACACACACACAATACACACACACAACACACACACTCTACACACACACGCACACAACAAACAAAACACACACACTCTATACACACACACACACACACACGCTATACACACACACAACACACACACTCTATACACACACACACACACACACACACACACACACTCTATACAAACGCACCAAGAACACACACTCATAACACACACAACACACAACAGACACATTCTATTCACACACACACGCACACACACACAACAGACACATTCTATTCACACACACCAAGAACACACACTCATAACACACACAACAGACACATTCTATACACACACAACAAGAACACACACAACAGACACATTCTATTCACACACAACAAGAACACACACAACACACAACAGACACATTCTATTCACACACAACAAGAACACACACTCGTAACACACACAACAGACACACTCTATACACACACTCATAACACTCACAATACACACACTCTATACACACACACCAAGAACACACACTCATAACACACACAACAGACACACTCTATACACACACACCAAGAACACACACAACAGACACACTCTATACACACACACTAAGAACACACAACAAACAACAAACACAACATGAACACACAACAAAAAAACACCCAAAACACCAAAAACACACAACAAACACACAACAAACACACACCAAATGCATTTTTACTTTCAATGCAAAGTGCAAACTGAACCTGAGGGACATTTGGGCTCGATCTATTTTAACTCTGATAAAAAATCTGTTTCCAAACAAAGTAAGTGACAGATGTGAGTTTATACATGTTTCTTCTTCAGATAGTTTTGAGCGTATATTCGCTGGTGTATGTATTTATCTCTGTGCAGAAACTGAAACACAAATATGTTTTTACACAAATGTCGGAACAAAAATGCTTTAATTACAGTTTTTTTTTGCCTCAACAAATAATTCATCCTCATCCCATCCACGTGGCACTTGTTTCACTCTGAGACGTTTGTGTTTTGGGCCGGACTGAACTGAAAGAGACAGAAAATGAAAAAAAATAAGTAATTCAAATGTTTGAATTTATTCTTTTTCATTTCCTGTCTCTTTCGGTGCAGTCTGGCCCCGAACAGAAACAGTGTGAAAAAAGTGCCAAAGTGAAATCAATGTTTTAAGAGTTTAAGGACAAAAAACTGCATTACTATTTATTTGGTTTTTTAAAAGAATGTTTAGTTCTGACCTTGGTGTACTGTGATATTTTCCAACAATAATATATTAAGAATAGTCCGTCCCCTCGGCATAACTGCCACAACTGCATGTTTCTAGAGGAGAATAGTTAAACCAATGGCGAGGGGCCTCAAGGATTTTAATTATTTTTGAGTAGGGGCGGGTCTAACCAATGTTTGTCTTTAAAACTATCTCCTCCCAGTTTAGATAGATACTTTATTTATCCCCCGAAGGAGAAATTCAGGTGTCCAGTAGCAGCAAAAAGAAAAAACAAAATGGATCATTCTAAAAACCCTTCAGGTCACAGCAGCAGAGGTGGAGTAGCCTCTGGGTGGAGCAGGACGGGTCACAGCAGCAGAGGTGGAGTAGCCTCTGGGTGGAGCAGGACGGGTCACAGCAGCAGAGGTGGAGTAGTCTCTGGGTGGAGCAGGACGGGTCACAGCAGCAGAGGTGGAGTAGCCTCTGGGTGGAGCAGGACGGGTCACAGCAGCAGAGGTGGAGTAGCCTCTGGGTGGAGCAGGACGGGTCACAGCAGCAGAGGTGGAGTAGTCTCTGGGTGGAGCAGGACGGGTCACAGCAGCAGAGGTGGAGTAGCCTCTGGGTGGAGCAGGACGGGTCACAGCAGCAGAGGTGGAGTAGCCTCTGGGTGGAGCAGGACGGGTCACAGCAGCAGAGGTGGAGTAGTCTCTGGGTGGAGCAGGACGGGTCACAGCAGCAGAGGTGGAGTAGCCTCTGGGTGGAGCAGGACGGGTCACAGCAGCAGCAGGTGGAGTAGCCTCTGGGTGGAGCAGGACGGGTCACAGTAGCAGAGGTGGAGTAGCCTCTGGGTGGAGCAGGACGGGTCACAGCAGCAGAGGTGGAGTAGCCTCTGGGTGGAGCAGGACGGGTCACGCACAGAGCAGCAGGAGCAGAGGGAGTAGCCTCTGGGTGGAGCAGGACGGGTCACAGCAGCAGAGGTGGAGTAGCCTCTGGGTGGGAGCAGGACGGGTCACAGTAGCAGAGGTGGAGTAGCCTCTGGGTGGAGCAGGACGGGTCACAGCAGCAGAGGTGGAGTAGCCTCTGGGTGGAGCAGGACGGGTCACAGCAGCAGAGGTGGAGTAGCCTCTGGGTGGAGCAGGACGGGTCACAGCAGCAGAGGTGGAGTAGCCTCTGGGCGGAGCAGGACGGGTCACAGTAGCAGAGGTGGAGTAGCCTCTGGGTGGAGCAGGACGGGTCACAGCAGCAGAGGTGGAGTAGCCTCTGGGTGGAGCAGGACGGGTCACAGCAGCAGAGGTGGAGTAGCCTCTGAGTGGAGCAGGACGGGTCACAGCAGCAGAGGTGGAGTAGCTTCTGGGTGGAGCAGGACGGGTCACAGTAGCAGAGGTGGAGTAGCCTCTGGGTGGAGCAGGACGGGTCACAGCAGCAGAGGTGGAGTAGCCTCTGGGTGGAGCAGGACGGGTCACAGCAGCAGAGGTGGAGTAGCCTCTGGGTGGAGCAGGACGGGTCACAGTAGCAGAGGTGGAGTAGCCTCTGGGTGGAGCAGGACGGGTCACAGTAGCAGAGGTGGAGTAGCCTCTGGGTGGAGCAGGACGGGTCACAGCAGCATAGATTTGACATAGTAAATCTATTCAAGTTACATTTGAAAAGTAACTTGAATAATCCTAAATGAATGAGTCTATTGTGAATGGTTGATGGTTGGAGGCACAGACTGTTTGCCTCGCTTCTGTCAATGTGCCCCAGGGCAGCTGTGGCTACTGTAGTAGTCACCGTGTATGGAGTATGTATAAAACCAATGCATTATTATTATTTATGCCATAGATAATGACCCATTATCATCAATAAACTCCAGGATAATACATTCCTTTACCAACCGATAATATCTGCAATACATTAGTCAGTTATTAGTATTCATTATTTTTCAATATTTTGGAGAGAGTCTCTAACTCTCGAGTTACAAACATAGAGCTCTTTCTCCCTCTGTGACGCCTTGTACAAAAATACAACTCAACAAAAAAGCTCCATCTGAGAATAAATGCAGCGAACAAGATGAAACGATGGAGGGATGAAGGTTGGAGGCGCAGAGGGAACGCCATGAAATGGAGGAGATGGAGATTGGGTGCAGAGAAAGTACCAGACACGAAGCAGAAAGTTGGATTTGTTAAAGATGAGGGCACCGTCGCTGAGAACATGTCACGACTGCAAAACCCCAGAAAAGAGCAAGAGCAGAAACAAATCCACTGAGTCATGTACTTAGGAAGAAGGAAACTTTCTCTACATGTTTCTGCTGCGGGGACAATCCTGTGACACAATGTTGGAATAAGACTAATTAAGGCTTGGTAAATTGGGGATAAAGTAAAACCAAAGAATTGTTTTGACATGCTGTCTTCATCTTCATCTTATTAGAAAACATCTTGTTTGCAGAGAAAGAAAGACAGAGTAGTCTGACACGAGCAGGTTGATCTACGAAACCTCTCCTTCACACAGCGAGGGGTGAATAAGTCTGTCACTGAAGCTACTCTCCAGAGCAGCCAGAGTGTCCTGCAGGGGACTTTGTTCATATATACAACCATTAGATTAAGGAGAAGTTTATACACAATAAATCATTCATACAGTATCTGCTGATTACTGAGACTTCAAACCAATAAGCAGTTCTGGTTTTTACTGCTCAAGAAACCTCACATTGGGTCGACTCTCCTCTCCACAGATATAACCCATAACAGTCTGTTCTCTAATGTAACATGGTAAACAACAACACAGCGCACCTTTAAAAACTCATTTCTAATCCCTCTGCAGACCTTAAACCAGAGGTGTCCAAAGCGGTCTAGAAAGGGCCGCTGTGGCTGCAGGTTTTCTATCAGACCCAGCAGGAGCAGAGCAGATCAGTGAAGATTTGAGGAAATGGGAGGAGTCTGCTCTGCTCCTGCTGGGTCTGATAGAAAACCTGCAGCCACAGCGGCCCTTTCTAGACCGCTTTGGACACCTCTGCATTAAACTAACAAAAAGACCTCTGTCCTCGATGTCAAAACCCAATTTTCGATATGAACCCTGGAGGCATCGCAGCATTTCTCCTCTGGACAAAAAATGCCAACTCTTTTGCCCACGGCCAATTAACCTATCGACGTAATTAAAGCTAGTGAATTGATTAGGTCCAGAGAGCTTACACACACGCCTTCCAGGAAAATACTGTCACCAAAATGATGGAGGGCCCCGGGTCACCAAACAGACCGGGAACGCAAGTTTATACATTAATATTAAAAGAGAAAACAGCTTTACAGACGCATTTTAATTTCCCTAATATCCTCCGAAAGTGTTCATAATTCATCTCTACCTTGGCGACTTTAATTGAATGCATTTAAATGGGAACAGAAATGCCAGCGAAGCACAGAGGAGGCAGAGAGACAGATAGAGCAGAGCAAATGAAGATGAATCTGTCGACTTAATGTGATTTCGAACAACTTCTAAAACAGAAGTGGTCCCGGACAAGTGCAGTACGTTACGTCGAAGCTCCTCAGTGTTCAAGCATTAGTCTCATATTTGCATAAATCGAAGCGAAACTCGTCCAAATATGGAGCCATTTGTCAAAAGTGGACAAAAGAAAGAGGTTTTTGCACAAACCACAGCAGCACACAGATGTAACCGGTTTGTATTGTGTGTGTGTGTTCGTGTGTGTGTGTGTGTGTTTGAATGTGTGTGTATGTTTGTGTGTGTGTGTGTGTGTTGAATGTGTGTCTGTGTTTGTGTGTATGTTCGTGTGTGTGTGTGTGTGGGTGTGTTTGTGTGTGTGTGTGTTGAATGTGTGTTTGTGTGTGTGTGTGTTGAATGTGTGTGTATGTTTGTGTGTGTGTGTATGTTTGTGTGTGTTTTTTGAATGTGTGCATGTGTGTGTTCAATGTGTGTGTATGTTCGTGTGTGTGTGTGTTGAATGTGTGTTTGTGTTTGTGTGTGTTTGTGTGTGTGTGTGTGTTTGTGTGTGTGCGTATGTTTGTGTGTGTGTGTTTGTGCGTGTTTTTTGAATGCGTGTGTGTGTGTGTTGTGTTTGTGTGTTTTTTGAATGTGTGTGTGTGTTGAATGTGTGCGTGTGTGTTTGTGTGTGTGTGTGTGTGTTTATGTGTGTGTTTGTGTGTGTTTATGTGTGTGTTTGTGTGTGTTTGTGTGTGTGTTTGCAGGGATCACCGTTCTGCTGTCTCTCACAGTCTTCATGTTACTCGTGGCAGAAATCATGCCGGCAACTTCCGACTCTGTCCCACTAATCGGTGAGTATTTTTTTTTATTAATATTATTATTTTAACGGTATATGGGATAATTTTCGAATGTAAAATGAGGAATGACATGAGCATAGTTACAGTTGTAGTTTATGGAATGAATGAATAACGACATCTAAAGTGTATTTGAGTGTTGTTATTATTTGTAATCACAAGGGTACTTTGGGTTAGCAAGGCAGAGGGCCCCATAACAGGACGCAGCGGGCCACAATTTGCCCTTGGGCCTTGGTTTAGACATGCCTGATCAAGACTATTGGTCCTGGCAACTGTTAAAGGTTTATAGGAAGAACCGCCCTCTCCACTTTTTGAACAAAACTCTCTGGTCTTTTTGGACGTATCACCAGAAAGATTGACAATTAGGACCAATAGTCTTGATGATCCACCCATCCATCCATTTTCTTCCCCTTAATCCATTTATGGGTCGGGGGTGGCAGTCAGAGCTGCACCCGGTACACAGAGCGCCCTAATGATCCACCTGGAAGTAGAAAATCCAACTACAGGAAATTAAAGCAATCTCACATATATTAACAGCCCTTATTGCTCAGTTTTTACTCCGCACATCTCTACAAGGATATTTTTCACACTTACTTAACCGCAGAGTAACAGAGCTAAAAGATGCAGAAAAGAACTGTCTAATTTATCCTCACCATCTGCTGTGCCTTAACATTTAATTGGCCGAATTGACCGAGTGCCCACAGTTGGAAATGATGTTTTAGTGAATTAAAAAAGCAGAGACGGAGCCAGATCCAGTGACAATTTATCTCAAAGACACAAATCTTGGCCAATAAACTCCGCTGGTTAGTCTCCCCCAACAACTCTGACCCATGAGGAAGTTATTACTGAGAGCACTTTATTTTAGGAAAGGGAAGTTTATTTGTATCGCACGGTTTCGTACATAAGGCTGAACATAACACAAGGTGCATTACGAAGAGTGAAGATACAGTCCTTCAGTTGAACCTGGATTTAAACATTGTCAGAGAAGAGGCCTGTCTCACATTTCAGGAAGATTTTAGCAGCATGAATCTGAAAAGCAGCCTCCTCAAGTTTAGTCCTGACTCTGGGACCAGCAGGAGGCCAGTCCCTGTGCTCCTCAGAGTCCCAGCAGGAGACCAGTCCCTGTGCTCCTCTGAGTCCCAGCAGGAGGCCAGTCCCTGTGCTCCTCAGAATCCCAGCAGGAGACCAGTCCCTGTGCTCCTCAGAGTCCCAGCAGGAGACCAGTCCCTGTGCTCCTCAGAGTCCCAGCAGGAGACCAGTCCCTGTGCTCCTCAGAGTCCCAGCAGGAGGCCAGTCCCTGTGCTCCTCAGAGTCCCAGCAGGAGGCCAGTCCCTGTGCTCCTCAGAGTCCCAGCAGGAGGCCAGTCCCTGTGCTCCTCAGAGTCCCAGCAGGAGGCCAGTCCCTGTGCTCCTCAGAGTCCCAGCAGGAGGCCAGTCCCTGTGCTCCTCAGAGTCCCAGCAGGAGGCCAGTCCCTGTGCTCCTCAGAGTCCCAGCAGGAGTCCAGTCCCCTACTTCCTGGTTCTAGTCAGGACTAATGTGATCGTACTTCCTGGTTCTAGTCAGGACTAATGTGATGGTACTTCCTGGTTCTAGTCAGGACTAATGTGATGGTACTTCCTGGTTCTCGTCAGGACTAATGTGATGGTACTTCCTGGTTCTCGTCAGGACTAATGTGATGGTACTTCCTGGTTCTCGTCAGGACTAATGTGATGGTACTTCCTGGTTCTCGTCAGGACTAATGTGATGGTACTTCCTGGTTCTTGTCAGGACTAATGTGATGGTACTTCCTGGTTCTCGTCAGGACTAATGTGATCCTACTTCCTGGTTCTAGTCAGGACTAATGTGATGGTACTTCCTGGTTCTCGTCAGGACTAATGTGGTCGTACTTCCTGGTTCTCGTCAGGACTAATGTGATCCTACTTCCTGGTTCTCGTCAGGACTAATGTGATGGTACTTCCTGGTTCTCGTCAGGACTAATGTGATGGTACTTCCTGGTTCTCGTCAGGACTAATGTGAGGGTACTTCCTGGTTCTCGTCAGGACTAATGTGATGGTACTTCCTGGTTCTCGTCAGGACTAATGTGATGGTACTTCCTGGTTCTCGTCAGGACTAATGTGAGGGTACTTCCTGGTTCTCGTCAGGACTAATGTGATGGTACTTCCTGGTTCTCGTCAGGACTAATATGATGGTACTTCCTGGTTCTCGTCAGGACTAATGTGATGGTACTTCCTGGTTCTCGTCAGGACTAATGTGATGGTACTTCCTGGTTCTCGTCAGGACTAATGTGATGGTACTTCCTGGTTCTCGTCAGGGCTAATGTGATGGTACTTCCTGGTTCTCGTCAGGGCTAATGTGATGGTACTTCCTGGTTCTCGTCAGGACTAATGTGAGGGTACTTCCTGGTTCTCGTCAGGACTAATGTGAGGGTACTTCCTGGTTCTCGTCAGGACTAATGCTACATCTCGTTATCGTTTGGTCCAGTTCTAGTTTCAACATTTCAGCTAAAATGCGATTCTGTTGATTTGTATTTACTTTCAGCCGCTGATTAATACGTGTCTAAGTTGTGATTACATTTTATCGGCTGCAGAGATTTATGCTCATCAGTTTGTGAGAGCAACAGTAATTAATGAACATGAATGAATTTGCATTTTTTATGACACAATATTTCAGTGTGAGCAGACTCCAAACTGTAACAGCGTCTACAGACTCCAAAAATACACTCTTCCATCCCAAAAGACCCCATTCTCCAGCTGTTTGGATCCACTGCTGGAGGTGGCATTCTATTGTTTAAAGCTGGGGTACCTGACTTGATCTTCTTGACCCAACAGAAGTAGCCTGGTCTTACCATACCATCGTACTCATTTCATTTCGTACTAAGATCTGGATTTGCTCCATTGACTCCGTGAACAGGTGGGAGGGGTTATCTGATATTACCGTGATGTGTGTAATGTGCCCGAGTGAGTGAGGCATTTCGCATTTAGCCTAGCTTTAGCTTTTAGCCTAGCTTTAGCTTTTAGCCTAGCTTTAGCTTTTAGCCTAGTGAGAAACCACATTGAGAGACGGACGGGCTGTAGATCCGGGACCTAAGCTACAGAACGAGGACCAAGGCAAATTTGCACTAACGATATGGTTTGGATGTGGTTTCAATCTTTTCCATACCACGTTTTGTTGTTATCTGCTTCTTTTTGCTTCTTTGCTTCTAACCAAACAACTTGCTTTCTCCCCAAGTTTTCTCTTACGCCTGTGTTACGCCTGTGTGTGTGAAACATGTTTACTAAACTCTTCAGTCGTATATCATCTGTCTCTAGGTGGTTCCTTTTATTTCGTACACAGAAAGGGAGGGTTCACTCTGGATAATGGCCTGTATGTAGCAAGTGTCGGAAAACATTAGTGAATTGGAAGTTTTACACCCACTCAATAAATGCATAAAGTTGATAATTTATAGAAAACGATTGGAGTGAAATAATCAGGACCGTGGAGAAAGCCAGTGGTGGAACTGTTTATTTTATATTGCTATGTCCCACGCTGATAGATGTTGTTTTTGTTTGATATTTAATGTGGCCCTGGCTCTTTGAAGCATGTGTGGGTGAAGCTCTGTCCGTGTCTAATCCGTGTCTCCGACTGTTCCAGGCCAGTACTTTGCCAGTATCATGATCATCGTGGGGATGTCGGTCATCGCTACAGTGGTGGTGCTGCAGTATCATCACCACGACCCCAACGGAGGGACCATGCCCAAATGGGTGAGTCCACACCTCTGAGTACGCAGGTCTGAGTCCACACCTCTGAGTCCGCAGGTCTGAGTACGCAGGTCTGAGTCCGCAGGTCTGAGTACGCAGGTCTGAGTACGCAGGTCTGAGTACGCAGGTCCGAGTCCGCAGGTCTGAGTACGCAGGTCTGAGTCCGCAGGTCTGAGTCCGCAGGTCTGAGTCCGCAGGTTTGAGTACGCAGGTCCGAGTCCGCAGGTCTGAGTACGCAGGTCTGAGTCCGCAGGTCTGAGTACGCAGGTCTGAGTACGCAGGTCTGAGTACGCAGGTCTGAGTACGCAGGTCTGAGTACGCAGGTCTGAGTACGCAGGTCTGAGTCCGCAGGTCTGAGTACGCAGGTCTGAGTACGCAGGTCTGAGTACGCAGGTCTGAGTCCGCAGGTCTGAGTCCGCAGGTCTGAGTACGCAGGTCTGAGTACGCAGGTCTGAGTACGCAGGTCTGAGTCCGCAGGTCTGAGTCCGCAGGTCTGAGTACGCAGGTCTGAGTCCACACCTCTGAGTACGCAGGTCTGAGTACGCAGGTCTGAGTACGCAGGTCTGAGTACGCAGGTCTGAGTCCGCAGGTCTGAGTCCACACCTCTGAGTACGCAGGTCTGAGTACGCAGGTCTGAGTCCACACCTCTGAGTACGCAGGTCTGAGTCCACACCTCTGAGTACGCAGGTCTGAGTACGCAGGTCTGAGTCCGCAGGTCTGAGTACGCAGGTCTGAGTACGCAGGTCTGAGTACGCAGGTCTGAGTACGCAGGTCTGAGTACGCAGGTCTGAGTACGCAGGTCTGAGTACGCAGGTCTGAGTCCGCAGGTCTGAGTACGCAGGTCTGAGTACGCAGGTCTGAGTCCGCAGGTCTGAGTACGCAGGTCTGAGTCCGCAGGTCTGAGTACGCAGGTCTGAGTCCACACCTCTGAGTACGCAGGTCCGAGTACGCAGGTCTGAGTCCACACCTCTGAGTACGCAGGTCTGAGTACGCAGGTCTGAGTCCGCAGGTCTGAGTACGCAGGTCTGAGTCCGCAGGTCTGAGTACGCAGGTCTGAGTCCACACCTCTGAGTACGCAGGTCCGAGTACGCAGGTCTGAGTCCACACCTCTGAGTACGCAGGTCTGAGTCCGCAGGTCTGAGTACGCAGGTCTGAGTCCGCAGGTCTGAGTCCGCAGGTCTGAGTCCGCAGGTCTGAGTACGCAGGTCTGAGTCCGCAGGTCTGAGTACGCAGGTCTGAGTCCACACCTCTGAGTACGCAGGTCTGAGTCCACACCTCTGAGTACGCAGGTCTGAGTCCGCAGCTTCAGGTCCACATCGTCCAGTATGTTTCTTGAATGTGACACTGAGACTGTGTTAAGATAAGATTAAACTGTTCTTTATTCGTCCCACAGTCGGGAAATTTCAGTGTCACGGTTCCAAAAAATAAAAAGTACAAAATAAAACTCAGATTGTACACATCAAACAGGATCTATTATGTACGATAATAGACAATAAAATAGAATCAAATAAACTCCATCCATCCATCCATCCATCCATTTTCTACCCTTTAATCCATTTCTGGGTCAGGGGGGTGGCAGTCAGAGATGCCACCCAAGTCTCATAGCACCAGCCCCTCACTGACCCTCTGCAGGTGGTCTGCAGGAGCATAGCCTTGATCTTTCAGTGGGGGCTTTGGGCAAAGTGGGGTTAAGTGTCTTGCCCAAGGACACAACGACAGCAGTCATCAGTGGGAGTCAGTGGAGAAGGTGCAGAGGTGGGAATTGAACCCACGACCTTCTGGCCTTAAGGCCAATGCTCTACCAACTGAGCTACTGTCGCCCCATTTATACTGTCAAATAAACTCAGGAGCTATAATTCAGTGGTATTTTTAGATGTGTGTTTTGTACTTTAGCAGCAGAGAATACGACCAGAATAAACAATAGTAATAATAATATCAACAGGTTTAGTGACTAATGAATTATTACCAGAACAGAGTCAGCAGTTCTCGTTGTACAGTCTGACAGCAGCAGAGGAGAAAGACCCGCAAAACCTCTCCTTCACACAGCGAGGGTGAATCAGTCTGTCACTGAAGCTACTCTCCAGAGCAGCCAGAGTGTCCTACAAGTTTGTGCCTGATTCGTAAATACAAGAACTACAAAAAGACTTTAGACTTCACCTGAATTCATAAAGAAATAAACCTTTCCTTCCTTGTCCTTCATGAGACAGAGATGCTCCAGGTTTAGCTGAGTGAGATACAACACCTTTTTAATTAGTTTTTAATGTCATGTAAGTTAATAAAAAGTATGAGGAAGGACAAGAAGGAAAAAGGGAGGAGGTTTTTACAAAGTTGGGTGCGGTCCAGATCCTAGTGTGGAGGAACTGAGGTTAATTTGGGACAAAATGTTAAATGAGCACCAAGAAAGCTTATTAAAAGTTTCTTCCCTAAAAAGCGCTTCGTTAATTTATAATCACTAAAACCCAGAGTGTTGTGTGTGACCTGGACTGGTTGATTACATTTCATAACATCACAATATCAAACAGTTTTATAATGGGATGTTTTTTCACATGGGTCTAAACTGTGGTGGAAAAACAGATCATCCTTTGGTCTTTTTCATTGTTTTCAGTGTTTTGAGCTCACACTAATTGGACCGTATCTAAGATTTCTGACAAATCTGAATTATTTGCGATCCGCAGCATGTTCCCAAAATGTTGTGAGTCCGAGTAATTTGCTGTTATTCATTTCTCTTCAATAAACAATCCACTAGACTCTAGTTCACAGACATTTGGCAGAGCTCCAGCCTCTCACTGATCCTCCTGCGGCTGCTCTGTCTGTGAGAGCATAGCCTTGATCTGTCTGTGGGGGCTTCAGGCAAAGTAGGGTTAAGTGTCTTGCCAAAGGACACAACGACAGCAGATCTCAGTGGGAGTCGGTGGAGAAGGTCTCGTGGTGGAATCTAAAATCTGAGTCTCCATTGTTATTGATTCAATTACATTTGATCTGTGTAGCAGTAATTCACTACAGCGTCTCAAAGGACAAAATATTAGATTTGACAACAGTAGATTAGAGAATCAAAGAATTAGAACACAGGAAATGCAATAATATGTCCTGGATCATCGCCGTCCTTAGACCAGGCATGTCCAAACTCGGGCCCGCGAGCCAATTGCGGCCCTCTGTACCATTTTATGCGGCCCTCTGCTGCTAACATAAAATCGCCATTTAGGCACTTTGACACAATCATCCAACCAACTTCAGCTCCACCAATACAGTCATGCTATACTTTGTTGTAAACCTCAGACCCTCTGGAATCCAGTTGTTCACTCTGTTGTTATTTACTGACATTTGTTTAATGATTGTGACACAACATACCAAATAAAATGCAGCAATGAACAAATAAGGACGAATCCTGACCCATTTTAAATTACAGAATCCAGTCAATCCAGCTCAAATCCAGGTTTTAAATCCAGATTATCGGCACCAGGTCAAGTCTGATGAACTAAAGTGTCCCTCTTACTAAAAAACGTGGACACCCCTGCCTTAGACCCTTCTGCATCGTCAAGGAACCGCACAAAAACCCACAAGATCCACCTCATTGGCAAATCAAAATCTTGTAACGATTAGATGAAAAAGATGATTATAAAAATGTAATTAGATTTCACATCCAGCTTCCATTCGACCTCAAACCCTGGTCTTAAAAAGTATGAATGTCTAGTTTGACTGAAGGCTTGTGTGAAACGTCTGCGCATACATCAGCTCCCGGTCCTTTCACACCTCTCTGTTCATCTTGTAAATGACTCCTGGGGCCTCATCCATCTCCATATCTACATTTCTTACTCCGACATTCATATCGTTTACACTACATTTTTCATTGGGAGACGACAGCTGCTGCTTTGGCTCTGACTCAGCCGCTGCAGCTCTCATCAAAGTCCGACTAGTTTTAAAACAGAGACAGTGGTTTCAAAGCACTCGCAATCTGGGGACGGCGTGTGTTTCTCGCTGCTGACTGTCTCGCTGATATGTGTCTCCGTATCTTTTCAACTAAAGTTTTAGGCTGAGGCCGAGAAGTCAGTCTGTGAAAAGAGGTGCACATGATGAGGCAGGGATGGGTGAGATTGCGATGTCGTTTGCGTTTGAGCCGATGTGGGGTTGAATGTTACAGAAAATGGGAGGATCGTGATAGAGTTGAGCCGTGAAACTGATGCAGAGGCTGAAAAACACAAGGATACTATTTTTTTCCGATAGAAAGTTAGAAAAATCAAATATATAAACCAACATTCACTGCAAATGAGCAAATTAGTAAAGGAGCAATGTGTAAACATATGGCCAGAAGTGGTACTGCAGCCTCTCCCACTCTCCCTGACTCAGGTTGCCAGATATGCAGACGAATCCAGCTGGGACCATAACAGCTGAATAGACAAGAGTTTTGTCAACAGCAAATCTATAACCAACACCTTTTTCACAAAGATAGAAATCCTGGTTTTATTCCTTGTTTTGTCGTTAATGATTTGAGAATCATAACGAGACCTTTTTTAGTTCTGCGCCACATGGTACTTTACCAGTGAGATTAACTCCACGCGCTGAGTTCTGGCGCCCGGATCACAGACTTTCTGATTGGTGAAATGGTGGAGGGCGGGACATCGAAATGAAAACAATAACAAGATTTAGGGTAAAAGTAATCTAGAAATTCAAATATCTCTGAACTACTGTTATCAGTTAAATAAGTATTCGAAAAGAGTGGTTTATTAATGTATTTTGACAGATTTGGGCCCTTTAATGATGACTTGACGTGAAAATCTACTTATTGCTACTTTAACTGTATGATGTTCCGGTTTCTCCTACCACTGAAAACATGGGCAATTGGTAAAATCCTCCAGCTCTGGACCTGACCAAGCAGAGCATCAACATCTGGAGATGCGGCCCTGGGCGCTGTTACTACGGCGACCATGCAGAGGATGAATTGCCGTACAGGGATAAATGAAGTGCACCTTTCCATTTACTGTTACTCTATCCCTCTGAGCCAAAAC